TCTGTCACCAGGCTGGAGTGCAGTGGCGCAATCTCAGCTCACTGCAACCTCCGCCTCCCAGGTTCAAGTGATTCTCCTGCTTCAGCCTCCCGAGCAGCTGAGACTAAAGGTGTGCGCCACCACACCCAGCTAATTTTTGTAATTTTAGTAGAGACAGGGTTTCACCATGTTGTCCAAGATGGTCTCCATCTCTTGACCTCACGATCCACCCACCTCCCAAAGTGCTGGGATTATAGGCATAAGCCACCACGCCTGACCACCTGTCAGTCTTAAAATGCAGGACTTTTCTGGGAATGAAGTGAGCCTCTTCACTTCTAGAATTTGGAACCAGACTTAGTGAGTGTTTTCCTGGGAAATACAGGAAGTCATCTTAGCCGGCTTCTAAGGTTCTGCATCGGAACTGGGTAGGATCTACTCTCTGGGGACTGTGAAGCACAACTACAATAGTCAGTGACTCCTCCCACCCCTAGCAGCAGGGTTTTAAACAAAGAAAACATTTCCATCTTGAAGTTACTTCAGTAGTTCCAAATCCCTGTTATTAAAGTGAGAATTAGAAAATGATCCAAGGATATAAAGTTAAAATTCAGTATTCTGATGAACGTAGAAATTTGGTTTAGAACCTTCACCAAAATTTGAGCCCTTCTTTCATGGGTGAACAAAAGTATGTGTGTGTATGTGGGCATTATCCTGGCCATTATTAATGAGATCCACAGAATAAAATGAAATTTGTGATAAACTAAGTTTTCTGTTTTTTGGATAATATTTTTTCATTGACTCCCTAGTAATTCATCCTGCTGTCTATGTGCAGCTAACACTCGCTCCCAAATCGAGTGACTTCAGATTTTAATTTAGTGGAAGCGTTAAAGAAAGCAGATGATTCCCTGTGATAAGTTAAAGCAGATATCTTCTAGGTGAAAAGTTAAAGTCATTTATCAGAGGAGATAGTGCTGTGATATTCTTCAAACTGACGCCCAACACAAGACCAGAATCTAAACGATCGGCTTTGGGCTCACGGATGGAGAGATAATTTTGAAATGGATGATCACATTTTACACTGGGGCCATAGAGGCAAGGAATGTAGAACACAGTAATTACAAGTTTAGTCTTGATAAAACACTCTCCATCCTGTTTAAGTCAGCAGAGGTTAGCTTGCTCAGATCTCCACTTTTAATTGGTTTTGGACTTGGGTTTTTAGCGGGTGGAGGGCCATGTTCAAATTAGAAGAATCACTAAAACCGTGAGCTGAGAGGGCAAACCAGGAAACACTTATTTGCAGAAGCTTTTATGGGGCTTTGGTCAAACATTCATACCTGTGGAACAAAAGTTTTTTTCTTAAACTAATAGGTTGAAAATTTTGGGTCTTGCCAGTGAAGGAAATTCCATGTGCAAGGAAGATTAATGGCATTAAGTATGTGCATCTTAACCATTGTATTTTTACTACCTGTCAAGAATATGTGGCCCTTTTTTGTAGAAAGATTATACTTTATCAGCTGTTTAATAAAGTAGATATATCTTGTTGCTTTTGTAGCAGAGAAACTGAGTTCCTATTTTTCCCTCCAAATTTGGATCCTTATCTGATCATTAATACTTATTGTTTGGTTGTTTTCAGCCTTTGGTTAAAAGAAAGTCAGTGGAATCAAACAAAATTGTAGGGCAAGTTTTAAAATAGAAATAGACATTTTGAAAATATCTTTAATGACTTGGCTGCCTTTTGACAAATATTTGTAGTGTCTTGAAGAAAGTTAAGTTATTTATTTAAAAACATGCAATCTCTCTCTGCTAGCTGAACCCCGCCGTTTAACAATAAATGATGCTTTGCTGATAAATGATTCTTTTTATGCAGACTAGCAAATGAAATAGAAGATGATGTCTGAAGGCAGATGAACATTCAGCTGCCTAATGCTTCCATCTATTATAATTTGGTTAAAAACAACAAACTCCCCAAAATAATCCCCCAAACCACCTTAAATTCGTCAGTTCCAGTGCATTGTCAATGGATTCACTGTCCTTATTCTCTGTTTTCTTTCTTTCCCTTCTGTAGCCCAAAAAGGTCAATGGTTGAGTGGCTTTTTTGACTATGGATCTTTCTCAGAGATTATGCAGCCCTGGGCACAGACTGTGGTGGTTGGTAGAGCCAGGTAAGAGCTCTTTTGTTTTGGCAGCTCTTTTTCCTCCCAATTAAAAATAAGAAAGAAAGAGCCATGGCTATGTAGATATATACCAATAATGTTCTCTTTGTCTGAACTGTCTAAGAATATTGGATTATAGCCATGCCCAAGGCAGAATAATTGGAGTGCTGGTTCTCAGTTGCCATTTTGTGTGTCACTCCAATGATGCATTTAATCTGAAGGCTAATTTTGACAACATTTCCTTTTTATAATGTTTCAGGAAACACACTTTAGGAGCCGTAAAGCCCAACTACAATAGCCAGAGCCCACCAATGACTTTCCCTCTCCCAAAGACAATTTTCGTTCAGGAATAGGTGACAAGTGATTCAGAGACTCATCTGCTTTTCTGTGTAACTGGAAAGAGGCTCTTCATGGCACCAAGATTATTTAAGTGACAAATGTACTATATTAGATTATAATCAGATTTGAATTGGCAAAAAAAAAAAAAGAGAGAAGTTTACCTGAAACAGGAGTAAAATAAGCTGAAATAGTTTGCCAGAATACCTATATTTTTCAAGTGGGAAATTGAAGTTTCTATTAAATTTTAATACCCATTCTAAGAAGTGCTTCACTCAACAGCAAGCTCTGCGCAAAATAATCTGTAGCGCTTGCTATAACGAGCTATAACAAGCACCTGCCACGACTGATCTTAATCTACTTCTGCACTGCAGAGACATGCTGCTGAGGGACCGCATCTGGAGCTCACCTTCCTCTGGGGGCAATCCGTTTTTCTTATCTTGGTGAAAAGTGGCACCTGCTCAAGATTCTCAAACATGCCACATTGGGTTGAGATTTAGATTCTAGCCTTGAAAATAATTCTAGGCTCTGTGGTTCTCTCAGTACAGCAGGTCAGCACGCCCTCATGCTGCCTGTGACAAGAATCCATCAGAGGGCAAATCCCACAGACAGGGTCTTCTTCTGTGACTCTCAATAGGATTCTGGCCTGGAGTCAGCTCAGACTGAATGTCCCAGAGCCTACCTGTCTGTTTTCTTTAAAGTCTCAGGTCTTTTATCTCACCCCAGGCTTCTCAGTCCCAGTGAGAAGTATTCTCTGTGCCTGGTAAAATTCCCACTGGGGAGCTGAAAGTAGGAGATGCACTGGAGCGAGAACCCTGATACTCAGCTTCTGTATCAGCTTGTTAGATTCCTCCTGGCACACTAAGACCAACTTTTTTCAGATTTGTCTCATCTATTCTGCTTCAATTTTCCTGTCTGTGAAAAAAACATGACAGATTTTAAGTCTCAGAAAGCCAAACCTTTGTTAAGTTCTTTAAGATACTCCCATGGGAAATAAGAGAATAATACTTTACACTTATGATTAGAAGAATAGGGACTGCTTTGCAACCAAGATCAGTCAAGCTTGGCTTTGGTTAGCTCTGCCATTGTTTATTGCAGCACTCACTCTGACTTTCTCCTTTCTTTCCATCTGACGAGTTCTGAGCTTCTTACTCCAAACACATACACATGCTCACAAGTATATAAAACACAAATGGAGCTCTAGCTTCTTTCAAAAGCAATGGCATTTCAAGAAATAAATATAAATGTATTCTTCTGGGATTGTTACTGTAAGTGCTGCCAAAACTCATCTTTGGTATGTATGTTTGGAATATGTGTGCTATTGGCTGTAAATTGTCTTTTATTATTCCATGGCACCTTGTCCAGGGACACACTATAAAACAAGATGTAGCATCTTCATGTGCTAGCCTGATAAAATTTATATGAAGTATAATAGAAAACAGAAGTTGTTCTGAGCTGTTTTCAAGTTCAATAAATAACTGTAATACTCGGATAAAGATGTTCTTTATTAGGTCACATGGGCCCTAATATATAAGTTATAAGTTACCGATTTAGGGTGGCTTTTGCAATTACAAGTTTCCAGTCGGATTATTAATCATTGTGAACAGAAATATTTCTAAACCCTCCTGTGTACCTCCTGCTCGTTGTCTGGTTGTCTAGAGGGCTTTTGATTCTGATTCAGTGCAGGCAAGTGACAAGGGGGTGGGTGGTCTCCACTCAGGCCCTTGTCAGGCCTCTTGTGATGACAGGAATCCATTTTCAGTAGCCAATTTAACAACCAAAGGCCATCTGTCATGGAAAAGTTTGTTATGGAGATGCTGTGGGGAATGAGAGACTATAACCCATCCCAGCCCCAACCCCAAGGAATGCAACAGTGAGAATGAAGATTGAATCACATTTTCCAGAGTAAAGACTCACCCTATACTTTGTTTTGCTCTCTGATTTTTCCTAAAAAATCTTTATGAGGACCAAATTGGGAGGTCATAGTGGAGTATAAGGTGCAGAGGCTTTGAGCTCCTAAACAGTTTTTTAAATTAACATAGCTTTGAGATTAAATGTATACTTCTAATATAGATTTCACGAGGATTACTACTAAAAATTATCCTCGTCCCATTGGTCTTTTCCAAGAAAGGAGAAAGTTAAGGGCTTGTTGATCCACTTCTCTACTCTTGGCGTGTATTTTTCATCATTCTCATAACATGCCTGCATATCCCTATCCACATACCCAATAGTAAGACCTATTGTACCCTCAAATCTTATCTGGAACCACATTATTAATATTCCATAGAAAATTACAACTCCATTTCAGCAAGGTCAGCCCTCATTAAAAGTTACTGAAAGTCTCAGATTCCTACTGCCTTTCAGACCATTTCCTACCATCTTCACCAAGGAGATGCTCTAGAGTGAACTGAGAAGTTTCATTTGGCAGCTACAGAGGTAGGGATGTGTATATGTGCTAGGCTGTTGAGTCTAAATGCAGAGGTTCCCCTAGAACAGCCCTTGGTTTGAATCGATCTTGTGTTGGGACATTTCCGAATAGAAGTGATTCTGAGGGTGGTTTCCCACCATATTTAGAGAGTAAATATCAAATCCATAGCGTCTCACATTTAACTCGTAGAAGAATCAGATTCCCCCTGCTCTCTGTGTTTGTTTCTAGTTTTTTCCCCAATGTCTTGATGTGGAATTGGAAAACAAATGGCTAGCTATAATGGTAACATACATTGGGTTCTTATGTGGCTCATTTTTTATCAGGCTAGGAGGAATACCTGTGGGAGTTGTTGCTGTAGAAACCCGAACAGTAGAGCTAAGTATCCCAGCTGATCCAGCAAACTTGGATTCTGAAGCCAAGGTAGGCTACTCAAATACACTGTGAGCCTGTGCTTGGAGGGTTTTTCTCTTTGCAGTGCCTGTGGATACATCAGGAGCATTGCAAACCATCAGTTTTAGAGGGAAGGGCATCAGCAGCCTTGAATGATTTTAGAACATCATGTGCTCACTTTTAAGATAAGTCTAGATGGACTAGAAGCTAAATTCTGCCTCAAAAATTAAATAAGTCTTTACAGTAGTCTTCTTGATGCTAGAAAACAGTATACTTTTGTTGGGGAGATGGTCTTCCAGAAAGGCAGCTGAGATAATACTGAAGGCTCTTTGGTCCCCGATTCTTTGAGTATACACATGGAAGAGCTACAACTAGAGTTAATGGTGAAGTCTTGCCCTAATGCAAAGCGTGAACACCACAGCCTTTTTTTTTTTTTTTTTTTGAGACATGGTTCGTGGCCCAGGCTGGAGTGCAGTGGTGTAATTTTGACTCACTGCAGCCTCGACCTCCTGTGCTCAAGGGATCCTCCCACCTTGGCCTCCCAAAGTGTTGGGATGAGCCACTGTGCCTGGTCCCATTTTTTTTTTTAAGGATGGATTACATTTTCACATCCTGACACCATTCAGAAAGTGAGGGGTCAGGGAGGCCAGGGAGGAGGCTATTCAGCAGTGTGACATCAAGTGTCTATTGATTAGCTACAGTACAGGAAAATGCTATACTAAGCACAAAGGCGAAAGGACTGGGAGACTATGTACAATTGACTTGCTTTAACGAGTAGCACAATGGGGCCATTTTAAGTAGCTTTTGAGAAACCTAGAACAAGGGTCCTTAGGACTGCATTCTTCCCTTTTGACTACAGAGTTGTTATAATCAGGACTTAAAAAGAATAGTATTTAACAAGGTCAAAGATCCAGGATCCTTTCTTCTTTTTTACTCCAAACATGATGATCTGATGAACAGTAGTTTTTGTTGGTCTGATTTTTAGTTTTCAGTTTTAAATAAGTAAAATCTTGTTCACCTTGGAGAGATTTCCCCCTGGAGCTGTATTGTTAATTGTGTCTTCTTTGACTTTTCCCAATAGATAATCCAGCAGGCTGGCCAGGTTTGGTTCCCAGATTCTGCGTTTAAGACGTATCAGGCCATCAAGGACTTCAACCGGGAAGGGCTGCCTCTGATGGTCTTTGCCAACTGGAGAGGCTTCTCTGGTGGAATGAAAGGTGACTGGCCTGCCTGTGGGCTGGAGGGGCATCACTGATTACTGGGCACTCTGCAGCAGAGGGAGTGTGTAGGTTCAGCGGAATCTGTGGGTGTCCTAATAGCCTAGGCTTTTTGGGGATTCTGCCCTCTCTGAGACATCTTTTGAGTTGCAACTTGAATGGAAAAAAGTACACTTTATAATTTATAATTCCATACACAATTTCAGAATAATCTACTACTAGTGTTATTGAGGTGACCTACTGTTGTGGATTTAGCTCCGGTACTGAATTTGAAAATGAACAAATTCAGTACCGGAGGCTGTTCTTTGTGGCAATTGGTGCTGTTGTATTATTATATAACAACAGCCCTGAGCCTGTGGCTCCAGCATATTAGACCATTATTATAAAGGCTCTACTCCATGCTATGGGAATTGCTAAGTAATTAGGCAGCCAGTATCACCATTTACGGAGAATCCTTAATGTGTAGAGCAACTGTGGACACTACAGGGAGAGCCCAAGGAAACACCACCTCTTATAGTAGTGAAGCTCTCTCTCTCGTGGCCAGAGAATTCATGGCCATGCTAAGCCAGAGACTACATACCTGGAGGGCATGAGAGTATGCTAAGTATAAATTCCATCTGTCTTGGGGAGAATTTGGGGTTCTAAAGCAATAGGATAGGGCCAGGCATGGTGGATCACCTGAGGTCAGGAGTTCGAGACCAGCCTATCCAACATAGTGAAACCTTGTCTCTACTAAAAATACAAAATTAGCCAGTTGTGGTGGTGCATGCCTATAATCCCAGCTACTTGGGAGGCTGAGGCAGGAGAATCACTTGAACCCGGGAGGTGGAGGTTGCAGTGAGCCGAGATTGCACCCCTGCGCTCCAGCCTAGGCAGCAGAGGAAGACTCCATCTCAAAGAAAAGAAAAGAAAATGCTTAGGGACATACAAAATGTGAAATAAGGAACTCTCAATAGGGCACTTAAAAATAGCTTAGGGTGGAAGCACCCCCAGCCTGTGAGGGAGGAAAAGCCTGGGGAAACTACCAGATGGTCAGTTTTGTGGCAAGAGGGATTTGAATTTTTTGCCGACAATGTTTCCTTACTTGTCTAGGAAGAGCCCTGTATGGCCAGGCCTCGTTGGCAAAATGTAGACTAGGTTGATTTTGTGTGTGTGTGTGTGTGTGTGTGTGTTTGTGTGTGTTTGGTTTTTTTTTTTTTTTGGTTGAAAAGTTTACCTTTGCCTATATTTGCTGGAGAACTACCATATTTTATACTTTTCTTGGGGGAGACTTGGACTATACATCCAAATTAATGATTGTATATATTTTTTAGATTATCACGGTGAATTATTTTTTGACCAAGATAATAAATTAGCAGAAATACCATGAGAAATTGAGAGTATACGGTTAAGTCAATCCTACACATTTTTATTGAGTTCTGTGTGTTAGGAACGATGCTAGCCACTTCAGAGAACAAAAATAAGTCAAAATAAGTCAGAAACAGACATTGCCTCACAGAGACAAGAGAAATGTCTTGAGCAAAATGATAAAGCCATAGTGTATAAACAAAATACCAGGATGTTCAAAAGAAGATGGTAGTTGTATAACAAAGGGTAGGGGGACCTGAAACCCCCTCATTCATATATATATGAGGTTCATTCAGCATTAGATTTCACTTGATCCCACATTCCTTGGCTCTAGTATTTTTGTCGAGACCTGGGAGAGAATGCTATGCTATTACTCCTTACTTACCTCTTTGTGGGGGGCCCATTGAGAATGTACTCTTTCTGACATTACTTTGGAGTGTCACCCTGGATATTTTATCCTAACTGAAGTTCAGAGTTCAAAAGTTTCCAATGTAGCAATTCTAGGAAAAGCTTCAATTCTGCTACATATTTTGGCTCAGGCCCAGATTGGCTGCCACGCTGTAACAATAAGAACAACAACAATTAAGGTTCATTGAGCTCTTTTCACCAGAAACTTGTGCTAACAATTTTACATGTATTATCTTACATAATCATCACAACAAGCTCCTCTAAGGGGTAGGTTATATTGTTATCCACATTTTACATAAATTAAGATTTATGTAAATTAGGTTAAGTAAATTTCCCAAGCTCATTCAGCTAAAAAATGGCAGAGTTGGGAAAGGAAGGCGGATCTTTCTGACTCCCTGTAACACAGTTGGCTGATTTAGAGCCTAAGACCAGAACTAGATCTACTAGAATATCCCTATAACAGAATGTCAAGGTTCCTGAAAAAGTTATTATCCTACCTACTTCCCCTCTACTTTGGGGGTGTCCTTGGTTATTGTGAAAAGAAATTTCAAGAGCTCAGAAATGAGTTCATTTTTTATTGTGGTAAAATATACATAATATTTATCATTTTAATTATTTGTAAGTGTACAATTCAGTGGCATTAAATACATTCACAGTGTTGTGTAACTATCAAACTTATCATCATCCTCAACATAAACTCTATACCCCTTACACAATAAGTACCCATTCCTTTCTCCCCGCTGCCCTTGGTCTGAGATGAGTTTTTGGCCTGATATATAGACCAGGGCAAGTTCTGTCTTCTTAATTTTGGTGCTGATGCATCCTTTTACACCTCGCATAAGACAAATAAGATTTAGGGAAGATAGAGATCCCTGTGAAGGTAGGAGGGGGAGGAACAGTGCCTTTCATATTTACATACAGGTCAGGGTGTTGTCTACGTATTATCTCATGTAAAGGGACCTAAACTGAGGGCCTCTTGTCATTCTTCACATCCCTTGGGGAGATGTTTGCAGTTTTGGTTTCAATACTGACTGGGGATTATGCAGGGAGGGAAAATAAACAATTATGCCATCCCTCAGTGCACACAAACACACAGCCAGGAGCCGACTGCACTGTGGGTAAAATGACTCCAAAATTGTGTGTAATGAGTAGGAAAAGATTAGAGACAGCTCTTGCTATGCTGAAAATTGACATTAGTGGAGGGGGAAAAAAAAACTCTTTACTAGTCGGCCTAGGAGGTCTAATTCGAGCAGTAAAAATATAAATAAATAAATAAAAGCATGTCAAGATGGTATTGGTGCTTTTTTTCCAATGAGCTCTATCTGGCCGGAAGGCTATTCAGCATAATGCAAAATTAAATTATAAAAACTGGCTGAATATTTAGATGGAAGAGCCATTTGGAAGCAGTTTATTTAGACGAACCGGCAATGACCCACAACAGGGAGACATCAAGCGTGAAATTTACTAGAAATTAGCACCAGGGTCCCAGCCTCAGCATGAATAGCTTGATAGGATGCAAATCCCAGTGATATTAAGCTGCCTCACTGCTGGTGCTACAGGGTCACTCTCAGTTGGCTTTTCATGTTATACTTATTATTTTTTCCTGGGACAGGTTATAAATAACAATAAAAAAAAATTTATTGAAAACTTTAACCGGAATGAAAGTCTATTTTAAAGTCTCTGATTACTTGGATGTTGAAATACAGTGTCAGCCGATCATAATGAACTAAGGAGAGACATTATGTATATGTAGCTTGTGTATGGCTAATGTTTACCTTCAGTTTCTAACAGATAATCTTGCCCAAGCCAATAAGATCTGTTTCGTTTTCAAGAGTGTGGGACACTGTGGAAACACTCTGCCACCCTGTTCCCTTGTTTGATACACATGGTTGCCACAGTTTATCCATGTTTATAACAATAAAAGCCCTAGGCAGGGTTGGTGCCTAGGTGCTGAGAGCACACTGCAAAGGTTGTGTGTGATCACCATTCATGCAGATGTGCTTGGCCCAGCATGCTAGAAAACTCCAAGCTCCCGCCTCTCCAGTGAAGAACCTATCAGTATTTTCCATTCCCAGTTGCGTTTCTCAGGGCCTGAGAATTGACAGCATATGCATAGCTTTAAAATTCTGTAGACTGATTTCTTAACCTAAACCCTTGGGGGATCACCCCTCCCCTGCTGCTCTTGGCTGTGCTTTTGCTCTGTCTCTTAAATATGAAGGGATTTCAGACAATTGTGTGTCAGATTGTTGCCAAGTGTTTCAACCTGCCTTTCAAAATATGTGGTTTGGGGCAGCTGCAGTTAGTCTGAGCATGTTGATTACAGAGTTTATTTGTGTGTTTGTTGATATTTTAATAGCCTGCTTTTTGAGTGTTTTGATGTTTGGGCTGTGGGTCTGTAGGTGTTCCAAGTTAGATGGAGGCAATATATTAGTCCCAAACATGTGAGCTTTAACAAACCCTGATGCTCCTTTCCTACCCACAATCTTGGGGCTGAAAAATATTTGTTTGACAGTCAGATCCAAGCCTCACACAGGCTGGTAGTGTTATCAGTATAGTTTTGAACGTTTCTGAACACAGGAAATCCAGCAACCGTTGGGAATATTCAATCATGTATTCAAGTCTCTTTTTCTGGTTTTATTTTACTCATCATATTAGATGTTGGAAAGCAGAGTACTTTCCAACAGTCTCATGCTGTCTCTCCTAGCAGTAAGAATGAAGTAGTAGAGGCCGGGCACAGTGGCTCACACCTGTAATCCCAACACTTTGGAAGGCCGAGGTGGGTGGATGGCTTGAGCTCAGTGAGACCAATCTGGGCAACATGGTGAAACCCTGTCTCTACAAAAAATACAAAAATTAGATGCGCATGGTGGCACACACATGTAGTCTCAGCTACTTGGGGTGCTGATGGAGGAGGGTCGCCTGAACCCAGGAGGCAGAGGTTGCAGTGAGCTGAGGTTGTGCCACTGCACTCCAGCCTGGGTGACACAGCGAGACCCTGGCACCCTGCTCCCCACCTCAAAAAAAAAAAAAAAAAAAAAGAATGAAGTAGTAGAATGTGCACATTAGGGCCAACAAGATCTAGATTTGAGTCTTATCTCCACCACTCACTCTTATTTAACTAAACCTCAGTTTACTCACCTGCAACTTGGATATATAAATAAGATGATGTTCTGATGATTAAATGATTTATATGTGTGTATATATAATCATGTTCCCTGGTACGCAGTAAGCTAGCCATGATGATGACAAAAAGCAGCCCACGTCCATTTCATAAAAGTAAAAATCGCACACACACACTCATCTTCATTCGAAACTGTTTGCATATACCAAAAATCTAGTATTTTTTAAAACAGATGAATGAAAATACATTTTAAATAAAGTCTCCCCCTTTCTGGGATGTCAATCTGTTAATTATAATACAGAGACAGATTTTGTTATTGCTAAGTCTTTAACAAGAAGAAGTGAGTAAAAGAGCTGGAAACTTTGTCTTCACTTACCTCTAACTTTTTTTTCTTTTTCAGGTAGAATGACTTTTTGTGCTGTCTTTTATTGCTTTATTTTCTCCTTTTATCTATACCTTCCATTTCCTCTCTTTGCATGATATCGTTGAGGGACACTCTTTTCTGTTACTTGTTCTGAGACTGTACTCTTGGCAGCACTGAAAAATGTACTGCTAATTACACAATTATTTTATTATGTAGCACTGGTTGAAATATCCACTAAAGAATTAATTTAGTTAAAATAATTTGAACTGAGCAATTATTTTCATAACCACAGAATTAGCGTAAAGCGCTTAAAGTCCTTTATTCCCTGCTCTTCATACAGCAGTTGTGTAATTAGCAGTAAATTTTTTTGGTCTTAGCTTTTCTCCCAAAGGAATAAATGTCTTCACTCTGATCATATACATGGAGTATATAATCATACACATTCCACATAGAATAGGGAGTGTTTTCTGGGGCAACTTGGAATTTCTGAAGTATTCATAGACACACCAGGTTGGGGCAGTGGAGCATATGCCTTGCAGTGAACTATGCTCACTGATGGTTTGTATATTAAGCCATTTTTACTTTGGAGAAGGTGGCAGTTTAATTTACCAGTAACTACAATGAAAGCAATTTCTATTTGGTTTGCTCTTAACTTCCTGAAAAATGCTTCTTTGCCTTGGATTCCCAGAATTGATTTATTCCAAATTGAGATCCTCTCCTTGATAAGAAAGTTTGAACTCAGTTGAACCTGTTATTTGGTATTTAGAAAGGATCCATTGTGGCTCCACTGAAGTACTCATTAAACATCTGGACTCATAAACCTAAAACTTTAGCAATGGACTTCAGTGAGCTGGGAAATGGGAAGTCCGTAAAAAGTTGGGAAATAAATAACTGATCCAGTTTTCCAGGGACTCACTTTATGTATACATCATGGGTCCTTTTCTTCAGGCTGCTCCTGGCTTTGGAGGAATTACAAAATGTACTTTTTTTTTTTTTTAAAGGCAGGGTCTCGCTCTGTTACCCACACTGGAATACAGCAGCATGATCACAGCTCACTGCAGGTCTCGGCCTCCTAGGCTCAAGTGATCCTGCCACCTCACCCTCTGGGGTTGCTGCTGGGACTATGGGAATGTGCCACCATGTTTTGCTAATTTTTTTTATTTTTTGTAGAGATAGGGCCCCTCTCTATTGGTCTTGAACTCCTGGGCTCAAGCGGTCCTCCCACCTCAGTCTCCCAAAGAGCCGTGATTATAGGTGTGAGCTACCATGCCCAGTCTACAAAACATACTCTTTAGCAGAATGAAGAGGTGGCTCTTCTCTTGTTTTTTGTTTATTTTGTTTTATGTTGTTTTTGAGACAGAGTCTTGTTCTGTCACCCATGCTAAAGTGCAGTGGCAAGATCATGGCTCCCTGTAGCCTCGACCTCTTGGGCTCAAGTGATCCTCCCACCTCAGCCAAGTAACTGGGACTGCAGGCATGTACCATCATGCCCAGCTAATTTTTTATTATTTGTAGAGACGGGTTCTCACTATGTTGCCCTGGTTGGGTCTCTTCTTCTCATGTGGCTGTGTAGTATTTCCTAAATATTTTTTAAAATTTTCTGTCACTGATACCGTATAAAAATGCAACTGTTAAAGAATTTGTTTTTCTTTCTCATTATATTATTTCCAGAGTATATAATTAATTCATTCAGCATTAATTCATTCAGCAGATATTTGTTGAGCACTAACTATGTTCAGGCACTGGGCAGGGCTATTGGGATACCAAGATGAAAAATAGTTTTTGAAGATAAAATTTTTAAAGGATCAATTTCCATTAGCTGCACATTTGAAGAGCTCATCCTATGCTAAGCCTCATGAGAAGAACTGAAAAGAGGTAGAATAGTTCCTTCCTTTAGAAAACTTAATGTAGTGGGAGAGCACATATTGACATGAAAAATACTCAACATTTGTAGAGCAAATGTGAATTAATGTGGTGAAACCTGAGTACAGAAATTCAGACAGGATATGAAATGGAAAGGCAATCTGGAAGACGTACACACTGTATCTTGTGAAAGACAGTGCATCTCTCTGTTGCTGTCTTGAGATTTTGAAGATCCTTTGGAGTCTTGAATGGGATACAGGTCGATACTCCCTTCAGTCTTTAGGGTGACCAAACAGGAGGCATAGTATGAGGAGGCTATTCGTGGCCAGAGGTCCTGAACAGTGTTTAAAAGTACTGCTTTGAGGAAGAGAAATTTCATGATTTCTAATTTGTCTCATTCTCCGTAGATATGTACGACCAAGTGCTGAAGTTTGGTGCTTACATTGTGGACGGCTTGAGGGAGTGCTCCCAGCCTGTGCTGGTTTACATTCCTCCCCAGGCTGAGCTGCGGGGCGGCTCCTGGGTAGTGATTGACTCCTCCATCAATCCCCGGCACATGGAGATGTATGCTGACCGAGAAAGCAGGTAGCGTGCCTTCTGTATTTCCATTCACTGTAGCTTTAGGGACACTGTAGCTGTTGGTTTCCTCCTGGAGAATGCTGTAGCCATGGCACTACAGCACCACATCCTGTGATTCCAAACCAAAGCTTTTTCCTTCCATTAGAGTCCAGGTCCTCACTCTAGCATTTTAGGAAGCTGAAGACCATGGTGTTTGTAGCACCCAAAAAAACTGCAAGGGAGAACCTCAGGCTTGTTGGGAGGCAGTACCTGAAACTGCTTAAATAAAACAGATCTAATCTGGCATCCTTTCACAGTCTATTCTCAGCTTTCCTAAGTAAACTTCAAAACATATTTCTTTGACATTTTCCTAGCAAACTCCTACCTCCAGTCGTTTTAGTGGACCGCCCACTTCTCTCTTGTCTCCCCAAATTCAGCCTTCTTTGTCAAAGGCTGCTTAGGAGAGTCCAGTAGTTTCACTGTGAAACCTCTAGGCTAAGAGGCTTATTATTTACATTCTGTACTTAGGGGTTTATTATTTTTTAAGTCCTAAACTCATCTGATACCAGATCAGAGACAATTCCTCTACAGACTTTGGAATCAGACTGTCTGGTTTCAAATCCAGTTCTGCCTCTTGTTATATTTGGACGAGTCTCATAACTTCCTAAGCCGTAGTTTTCTCATCTGTAAAACGGGAATAATCACAGAACCTTACTACATAGTAGATGGAGACTGGGCATAGGATTGTTGTAAGGATTTACATGTAAGTGATTAGAACAGTGCCATGTACATAGTAAACATTAGCTATATTTTTTTAAACTAGAAAGCTGTGGGGTTTTTTTTTTTAAAAGATGTTTAGGGCAAAGTTTCTGGGGATTGAACATCATTAGTATGCACTAAAAGTAACCCTGAGACCTTTGACTCTGCTCATTTCCATATCACTGGGCAGAATGTTTTACTTCCTACTTGGCCTGGCTTAGTGTGTCTGATCAGTGTCCTACAGACTGACAGCTGTGGTACTGGTGAGATAGATAGATAGATAGTATTGATGAAGCATTGCCCTTCATCACTGTACATCCTACGTGATGGAGGTGATTCCCCTGTCACTGTGCCTACAGCATTTTTTTTTCCCATGGAAAATAATGTGATTCCTGTTACTCTTACCAGCTGTAGGTGGTGGAATCTGGATTCTTCTCCCTTTGAAATGGAAGTTGACTAGTGTGGTAATGAGAATTACTTTAAATACTTTTTGCCAGGCCTTTCTCATACCTCACTTAGATACTTCTTTGGCGCCTACTATTCTCCCTGGGGAGATGTCTGTTAACCATAGGTGGGTAAAACCATAATGAAGCTATTTCTTGGTCCACAAATTGTAACTGGCCTCATTTTGTTGTCTCCTTCCTTTAAAGTACCTCTATTTCTGTTTTGTTTTCTTTCTTTCTGATCCAGGGGATCTGTTCTGGAGCCAGAAGGGACAGTAGAAATCAAATTCCGCAGAAAGGATCTGGTGAAAACCATGCGTCGGGTGGACCCAGTCTACATCCACTTGGCTGAGCGATTGGGTATGTCTGCTTGTCCTCCTGGCAAATCAGTGAGCCATTCAGCTGATTTGTAATGAGTGCATTCATAGGCCAGGGGAGGAGGCACTGAAGCATTTGATCAAATTCATGATAATCTTTATTTACTGTCCTCTATATGGTAAAAACCCTGGTAGAATGAAATAGTGTGTATAATAGGGAAAGTGAGCCCTAAAAAAGCAAAAGTCACCTGATTTTTTTTCCTGATATTTCCTTAGAGTGCAAAAAGCTCGTCTTTCTAAGATGTCCTTGTAGAGAATGAGTAGCTAGAGTTGCTGCTGGGGGCAGGCCTCACCAGACAGAGAATATGCTAGATCTAAATATGTCCTGTTTCTACTTGTTTCTTTGGACAGCTCACTTCATTTCTGAGAGATGGGATAGAAAAGCAGGAGTCTTTACCCAGGCGGTGTCCAGGGGTCATCCTGAGCTAGAGAAATAGAAGTAAAGATTGCGCACTGTGTGCTTCCAAACAGTAACTGCAGCCAGAATAGCCCTGAGAGCAGGCGTGCTTAATGCGTCCAGCCATTACTCTCTTGCTCATTTGTTTTCAGAGCTTTTGGAAGCCACTTGCGATTTGAACATAGGACTAAACCATGGGAGTCCTGTGTTGAGTCCAGAGTCTAAATGAGTTTCAGATTCTTTTAAAACACTGATTTTCTGCCCAGGTCTCCCATTGAGCTGCTTGCTATGTTAGTAAAGATAATTGCTCGAGGTTCTTTTGTCGGTTGGTTTGTCTTGTTTTTGTTTTTTTTCTAAAGGAAAACAGAGATTGCCTTTAAAACGTAGTGAAACTCAGTGAATGGAGAAGAAATGCTAGCTCATTTATGTTCCAAATGATAATTTAATTAATAAAGTACCATTTGTGGACTGTATATCCCCACCATCCAGAGACAGAAAAATCCCGTTTGCCTACACTGTGGAGACTGTACATCCAGGTATTTAGAGCACTGAGCCAGGTTGCCTGCCAAACACGGTGACTTGGGTTACAATAAACCCTGTTTGTGTCCCATTGTTTGCCACTGGGTAACAGCCACCAATAAGTCTAACTCACCACAGTCTGATCCTTTTATGGGGAATGCACACATACAAGAAATGAGAGTTGTTTCTAAAATCTATTGCCACCCAGAATTGTTGAGGTGGTTTTTTTCTCTTTCTTTTCCAAACAGGATAATTACTTCTGACCAACCCCATACACTTTAATTAAAGTAACTGCAGCTCAACAGCAAGTTACTTACAACTGTACATAGAAAGAGCTCTAAAAGCTTCAGCCACTGATAAGCATCTCACTTAGATGGCTCATAATTGCTGCCAGCATCCCTTGATTGTGTTTACCACTAATTCCATACAAAGGCAGCAATGCTGCAATTGCAGGGTACAGCAAATTGCATCATTTTCCTTTTTCTTTTTTTCCTTTTTTTTATTCCTTTTTCTTTTCCTTTTTTTTTTTTTTTTTTTTTTTTTTTTTTTTCTTTTTTTTTTTCTTTTTGCTGGTTTTCTTTCTGGCCAATTTAAAATTTGTCAAAGTCGGTCTTCTTCTGGATCACTGCCCTTTGATATTTCGCGCACTCCATTTGCCACAAACAAGCCGCAGGGCCGCAGTTCATGCTGACTCTAGCAGAAGCAGAGAGAGCTCCATTTATCTTACACTGCCTGCTGAATTCCTACTCATTAACTAGGGGTTCACTGCCTCTTTTTAACCCCCCAATGGCTGTTATCCCTTCAGAGTAACTGGGTAGTAGGGAGAGGGATCCTCTCTCCATTTGCAGAAGGACTGGATGGTTAGGGGTGTGGAGAAAGAGCTTCTTTCTCTTCAGGGAAAGTGATGTCGCTCCCACCTTCAACCAGCACCTTTTAACTTTTGAAGCACACGAAGGGGAGAGGGAGGAGACTCCCAAGTGATAGCCGTTTAATCATTTGTTACAAATCATCTCATTATCAATTTCCTATTGGCATTGGAGAAAACCATATTTATTTAACCTTGACCAAGATGGCACTTGAAGAAGGACCCTTAGTCTGCTAAATGTGAAGCAGGCTCTGGCCTAGGGCAGCTTGGGGACATGAGCAGTGGACTTGGAAGAAGAATAACTAACTGCGAGTCTTGTAAATTATTTAACTTCTCCGAACATCAGTTTTTTCCAACCATAAAGTGGAGATCACACCTCTGCCTAGCTAATATGAGGAGCAGATGAGTACGCATTTACTTCGTTGCATCATTATCTTTCCGTCTTAGTCATTAGAAAAAGCAGATGGCCATGTTTGGTATCCAGCATTCTCTGTGGCTCCGTCCCACATGTGGAAATAGGAAAGAAACAGAAGTATAGTCCTGTCTCTCAGGGATATCCGACACGGGCAGCTGTCTCTGCGACAAAACAGGTCAGCCTGGATATAACGGGACATACTACGAACCCGGTTCCTTTGGGGTTCACAATGATTCCAGCTCTTTTAGCAATGCCTAGAACCAAACTACCGAAATTCTTTTTCACAAAGTGGGTGAAAATTGTTTCATTTTTCAGATTGGGAAATTGAGGCCAAAAATGAATAATCTAAGATACAAAATAAATAAAACTACACCAGAGCCCAGAATGGAATTCTCATTCCCTGTGTTCTCCATTTCTCAGGATTTCTTCAGATTTTTCCTCAGCTGAATACTGAGCCTAAAATAAATTAAACAAGGATTCTTTCCCGTTGTAATCTAAAGCCAATTCCACAGAGAAAATCTGATTTAGGAGAAAGCCTGTAGGAGTGGATGTTATCTTGTGTTCCCGTTCTCTCCCCAAATCTGCCTCTTTACTGGGGAGCTCACTCACAGATCACTCAAAGCAGCGCACAACTGATCGACTGTGTTCAAAAACATAATTATTCCAGGCGTGGTGGCACACACCTGTAATCCCAGCACTTTGGGAGGACAAGGCGGGCAGATCACTTGAGGTTGGGAGTTCGAGACCAGCCTGACCAACATGGAGAAACCCCGTCTCTACTAAAAATACAAAATTAGCCGGGCATGGTGGTGCATGTCTGTAGTCCCAGCTACTCAGGAGGCTGAGGCAGGAGAATCGCTTGAACCCGGGAGGTGGAGGTTGCAGTGAGCCAAGATCGCACCATTGCACTCCAGCCTGGGCAAGAAGAGCAAAACCCTGTAAAAAAAAAAAGATCATAATTACTATTTATTTTCTAAGAATGAGTAATATTTAACTTCGAGCAGCTAACTTCATCTCTTCTAGAACTTTCTTTTTTTTTTTTTTTTTTTTGAGACGGAATCTCGCTCTGCCGCCCAGGCTGGAGTGCAGTGGCCGGATCTCAGCTCACTGCAAGCTCCGCCTCCCGGGTTCACGCCATTCTCCTGCCTCAGCCTCCCGAGTAGTTGGGACTACAGGCGCCCACCACCGCGCCCGGCTAGTTTTTTGTATTTTTTAGTAGAGACGGGGTTTCACTATATTAGCCAGGATGGTCTCGATCTCCTGACCTCGTGATCCGCCCGTCTCGGCCTCCCAAAGTGCTGGGATTACAGGCTTGAGCCACCGCGCCCGGCCAACTTTCATTTTTTTTAATGGCCTTTTGTCATCTTACATGGTTAGTTTGGGTGGAAAGATGGTGAATTACTAGTTTGCAGGTCTGTGATTATAACAGAAAATATGTAAATAGTACCTACACTGATTTCTAATAGAAGTAAAGGGAAGAATTACCTCAGAAAGAAAAGTGAACAAAGCCCACGCCCCCGAGTCTTGCATTGCTGAATCTGTTCTGACCCTGATTCACAGAACCAGGGCTTGGTAGAGTCATTTCAAGAATTACTTCCTACCATTTGGTTGCCTTAAGGAAATTAAATTTCTTCTCTGGAAATGGAGCCGCAGCCCTCCCAGGCCTTTTTGTCTCTCTCTGATATCCTTCTACTGCCTCACAAGGCCAGGAGCAGGGAGAGTGGCTGTGGAGCAGGATGGCCTTGCTAGCCTGGCCTCTTGAGTGCTGTGACCTGAGGTCCTCTCCTGGATCCTTCCCCTCCTTTTGTGTTCAGAGAGAAATCAATTTAGATGGAGAGAGAACTGTCCAGCCCAAGTGTGAAGCAACTGTAAGTTCCCCACTATCCCTCTCTCTCAATACGAAGAGCACCTGGGCAAAGAGCCACTTAGGGGAACTTGTTCTTGGTCGTGGCCCTATTCCCAGGCAGCTGGCAGCCTGCCACACAGCACCGCCACCCACACAGAACATGCCCTGCCTGCCTGCCTGCCACAGTGAGCAGCAGCATGGACTGAGCACTGCTGCTGGCCCTCGCCTAGTCCTTCTAGGCCTGCCCATACCCACCATGTCTTCAGGGTCAAGGTTGCCCCAGGTGCAGATATGGAGCATTGTGGTGGCAGGTGAGGATAAACTCCCGTCTGTAAAAATCTTCAGGCCTTTTTGGAAGGCCTTCCTCCCAAGCCTTCTCTTTAGCAGCCAGAATGACAGGAAAAAGACTGTTCCCTGGGCTAAGGGGACTTAAGGGTTAAGCTGCTTTTCTGGCAGAGGTGATCATAGTATCTGAGTTGTGTTTTTCCAACTCTTGTGTCTATCTTCAGGAGGCTGAAAGCTGAAAAGAGACAGAGTTGCTTGTTTGAGGCAGAAAGTATGTCGTTGCCTGGGAAGTTAAGACTAGGAAAGAAGTTCCGATACGCATGCCTTAGTGAGTGGCCTTTCACCTCTCACCTGTTGAACTTGGAGTGTCCTCGCTGACACTATGGCCACTGTGTCCTCTGCAGTAAGGAGGCTGATGAGAAATAACACGAGGCTTTCTATCACGAAGGTAGATGTGGGATCTTGCCTCCTCTCCTGTTAGCAGTAGCTGAAAACCTACCCCTCACACTGATTCAGAAGCTATTTGACTTGGTGAAGTTTAGTGCAATAGTGACAACATTTTCTGAGAAGAGAAAGGGGTCATTTTAGTTTGATCCTTTAATCTGATTGTATTTATAAAAGCACCTGGGGTTGCTTCCCCTAAGAAAGCAGTGATT